ACAATGCTTGGGAAATATGCATCTTTATTTATTTGTGTGTTAAATGAAACTTATGGCTCTTCCATGCCCTCTGTTACAGTAATTTTTCTCTAAAACATGGTTTTACCTATGTTGAAATACATGTAAAGCAGCACCATTTTTTTAAATTGTGCTAAAATACACATAACATAAAATTTATCACCATAACCATTTTTAAGTATACAGTTCAGTAATGTTTAGTACATTCACATAGTTCTACAACTAATCTCCAGAACTCTTTTCATCTCGCAAAACTGAAACTCTACACCCATTAAACAACACCTCCCCATTCCTTCCTCCTCCCCCAGTCCCTAGAAGCCACTGTTCCATTTTCTGTCTCTATGAATTTGACTACTTAGGTACCCAGGGCACCAATTTTAAGGACAGTGCAGTATGGGCTAGGACCCTTAAACTTATAATTTATGGTATCACTCAACAATACTTGTATTTTTTCAAGAATGATGTTTCTATTTTGTATTATGTCAGCTAGAAATGAAAACACCTGTATTATTCATGCTTTGTCATTCAAAGCATATCATTCAAACATTCAACTAGTATAGAAATGTATGAAGTAAAAAATAAAATTCTTCCTATAATTCCACCTCCAGAGATAACTACTACTAATATATTGATACATATCCTTCTCAACACCTGTAAATATATGAGGTTTGTCCAGAAAGTATCCAGCCATGTAATATTATATATTATATTAACAATGGCTGGATACTTTCCAGACAGACCTCGTATATAAGAGCATGGTATACATGGATTTTGAACCCCGGGTCTAATTACTAGGTACATAGGTTAGTGAGGCTGCTGAGAATGGTTGAGTAGAGAGATGGAGGGAACCTGGGTCTCCGATGACGGGAGCCACTGAATCAAGCAATCCTGGAAACTCCTTTCCTCAGGGCTTCTTATTATTTGAGATAATAAATATTCCTGTTTAGTCTCTTCTAATTGGATTTTGTTGCTTCTGCCAAAAGCATTCTAATTCATCATGTCATTCTAGATAGCTCAGCATTTGTATACTAAAGGAAAGTATACACTTACATAAGTCTTATAATAACAATGAAGTGATGCCCTGACACAATAAAAACATATGCATAGTGCTGTTACAGCAAGCTAAACCAATAAGCCTTGAAATTCCCATCATTCAATAAGTTAAAATTGTTAGGTTCGCCTGTGTGGTGTTCCCTGGTCCCCCGGTTCCCAGGGTCAAAAATGAGTACTGGTACACTGAGTTAAGCTGATAACAGAGTGATCACAAACACAGAGCAATTTTATACAGTTTATCACATGAAAGAAAGAATGAAAGTAAAGAAGGAAGCTACACAAAGCGAAAATATGTTCCAGAGAGAGTGGAACGGGTCAACCTCAACGAGTGGAGAAAGACGCCAAAGTCTGAGCACATGCTGCCTTTCATAAGCTCACTTAGTTTGTCCTGCTTTTCCCCTGGCAGGATTGGTTGCTGTTTCCTGCCTTTGGGGGTGATTGACAGGTTGTAGTTATATAACAGATCACATGGCAGGTTACATAACAGGGTAGGTTATGTAACCGTTTCCCTTTCTGCACATGCATCTTCCCCAAAATCCTCCATGAAGCTCCACCCATATTATGCTAATTAGATGGTAATGAGCTCTAGGTCAGTTAAAGGTTACTAGGAACTTTTTACTATGTATGTTCCCACTAGGGAACAGTTCCTAGCTACAATTTGGTTCCAGCACTCCGCCCTTAGCTGCTTCCTTGCCACCTGTTTACCCTCCATCAGACCTAACAAAATGACTTCAATTCTGCCAAACTCAATCTGTTATATAAGATGATTCATTTTAAATATGCATTATATTAAACAGAACCTTATGCAAATTAAGAGCCTAGAATTCCTAAGGAATATTAGGCATTAAAAAAATGCCAGGTACATAGTTGCTGCATACATGTACTACTACTAATAAAAACATCGAATATTTATTGAGCATTTAGTATGTGCCAGTGCTGTGCTGAGTGCTTTACACTGATTAGTGTAATCATAACAAACCTATAAAGCATATACTATTACATTCTCGTTTCACAGATGAGGAAATTAAGGAATAGTAAGGGCAACTTGCCCCCAAATAAGTGAGCTTGGATGTGCAGTGCCATAAGGTCCTCAGCTCTCAGTCATTCTTCAACTCAATCCAGTCTGGCTTCATCTCATCCATCCTTCTCTCAACTGAAATTGCTTGCAAATATAAGAAATTCATGAATAATCTGTTTCGGTAACTGAAAGGACACTTTTCAATCTATCTGTTTAACTGCTTGACAGCATATGACTTGCCACTTTCCCTTGGTTATTCATAGTACTACTCTCTTCTGAGACCCCTCCCACCTCTCTGACCATTCTGTCTTAGTCTTTGGACTCTTCTGACTGATGTTTAAGTGTTGGTGATCTTTAAAACTTTGTCCTACAGTCTCTTCTCTGCTCCTATACTCTCTCCATGGGGCATACCATTCGCTCCCACAGCTTTAAATAATGATCTACTGATGATTCCTAAATAGGTACTTTTAGCCCAGATCTCATTCCTGAGCTTCAAACTAGTATATCCAACATCTCCACTTGGAGATCCCAGAGAACCTCAAATGTAACATGTCCGAAGCTAAACTCATCTTCGTTTCTAAATCTCTTCTACTTTCAATGGTCCCTTCTTATTCTGTGGCACCACCATGCTGTCAGTTGCCCAAGCCTGAGACCTAGGAGTCATTTTTGCCTCCACTGTTTCCCACTCTTCATTGCATCTATCATCATTGATTTCACCTTTGAAATTTCTCATGAATCTACCACTTTCCTCCATTCCCACTATCATCACAGTAGTCCAAGCTACCATCAAGCTCTTAGCCAGGATTATTGCAGTAGCCTCCTATCTGTTTTTCTTGCATCTGCTTTTGCCCTCTTCCAATCCACCTTCCACTCTGTAGCCAGGGTGATCTTTCAAAAACGCAAATCTGATCATGTCAGTCATTGACTTAGAACTCTTCAATGGCTTCCATTGACCTTTGGATAAAGTGCAAAATCTTTAGCATAACTTCAAGGCCCTACACGATCTTGTAATAGTCTGCTTCTACAACCACATCTCTTACTTGATCTTTACTTCCACTCTAGCTATAACGCACTTCTTTCAAACCTCCTTTCTGTACACACTCTACATACCATACTCCCTTTCACTTCCATGCCTCCAAACATGCTGTTTTCTACTGGGAATATTGTTTGCCCTTGCCACCAATATCCTAAACTGGGTAACTCCTACACATCAGTAAGATCTCAATTAAGATGTTATCTCCTCCCTAAAGTACCCAAACTAGGTTAGATCTCCCTGGCAACTAGATCAGGGCCTAAGACATAGTAAATCCTAAAAATATTTGTTGACTTGGCTGAGTAGAAAAGAAGACTGAATAGGTATGGAAGGCTTTGATAGGCAAGCAGGTGCTCAATAAATATTGTTGAATGAATGAATAAATGAGTGGAAAGAAGGAAGACTTGTTTAATGAATAATTCTAATTTTTCCTATCATAACATTAATGCATTTTTAAAAATCATTGAGTATCATTCTAGGAAGAGGAAAACGTCCAGTTTTAAGTTTAGGAGGCAATATTTTAAAATTGGTTCCAAGCTATAACATTTCACTAAAATATGTTCTATAAATTCTATAATATTTTAAAAATCACATTACACGAGAAATCCATGAAGAATTATATGCCAACAAATTAGATAATCTCAATGAAATGGAAAAATTCCTAGAAACACATGAATTACCAAACTGATTCAAGAAGAAATAGAAAATCTCGACAGACAAGAGATAGAATCTGTAATCAAAAACCTCCCAACAAAGAAATGTCCAGGACAAGGTGGCTTCATTGGTGAACTCTACCAAACATTTAAAGAAGAATCAACACGATCCTACTCAAACTCTTTCAAAAATAGAAGAGTGAGCACTTCCTAATACATTCTATGAGGCCAGCATTACCTTGATACCAAAGCCAGCAAAGATACCACAAGAAAACTATAGATTAACATCTATAGATGCAAAAAGTATACATGCAAAAAGATTTATCCCAGGAATACAAGGGTGGTACAATGTAAGAAAATCAATGTAATACATCATATTAATACAACAAGGGGTAAAAAACACATGATCATCCCAAGAGATGCAGGAAAAGCACTTGAAACAATTCAATGGCCTTTCATGATAAAAAGTACTTAGCAAGTAGTAGAAGGGAACTTCCTAAATATGAGAAGGGAACAAGACAAGGTTGTACACTTTTTGAGACTACAATGTTGTGGTTGAACAACATTGTGAATACACTAATTGCCACTGAATTACACTTTAAAATAGTTAATTGAATGCTATGTGAATTTCACAATAGAAAATCATATAATAATTTATTCACTTTGGCTTACTGATCTGCAAATATATTCCCTATGTTTACAGGATAATTAGCAGGAAAGAATTACCATTTAGAAATTGTATTATAAAACCATGAAAAGAAAATTTTATTTACAATTCAAGATAAATGTGAGATAAAAATCTAACTAAAAGCCTGAAAAGCACTTTTAGGAGAGTCCGCAAATTTTCCTCTCAAAATTAGAATGCTCTTTAAAAAAAATTGGAAGCCAGATGGTCTTATACATAAAATCTCAATGTTAACTCCATATGGGATTTCAAAATTAATTCTGTTGCAGCTGCAGCAAAGCAATCATAACTGTAGTTGATGTGTTTATTTTTCCTTCAGTAATGTTTAGAGTAGTGTTTCTCAAAGTGGGTACTTGTTAGAAATGCAAATTTTCAAGCTTTAGCCCAGATCTACTGAATCAGAAACTCTGGGAGTGAGACCCAGTCAGCCATCTGTGTTTTAATAAGCCCTCCATGTGCACGCTGAAGTTTGAGAACCACCTGGTTAAGACCAATAAGCACAAGTCTTAGACAGGGAGGCTGCTATAAGCATTTTCTTACCAGACACTGTTGACTCATAAATGTTGTACTGTTTCTTCTAATTTTTAACGTGTCAGTTTGGAACACCTGTGAGTTGTCACTAAGAAGAAAAAGAAAACACTTATTGTATGAAATCCATTCCAAAATTTAAAGAAATAAGATTTCAAATACTTAATGTCATTAATGTAAATAGATTTTTGGTGAAGACAGCTGTGCAGATGTAGAAATTCCAACACACACACACACAGAGCCTTAATCAGCTGAGCACAAACTTCCGTGTAAGGCAAGGAATTCATAAGCATGCCACTTTACCTCTAATCATGCTACTGAGAGTAAGTATAATCTACTGTGACCCTGGAAATACATCATTTTCAGTGTAAAACTGTAACTGGTTTAAATCTGTGGTTGAAGCTACAATACGAAAGCACTAATTCCCTCTCAACTTCCAAACTTTCACATGAACAAGATAACTAACATCAGGGGTCGATAGAACTGAGATTTTTCACAGATGTGTTTTGTTTGGCTTACACGGTGTAAAAAATGTTTTTGAATTCATTGTGTACACTGAGATTTCACATAAGAAATCCAGATTCCAGATTTCTGGCATCTATTGAAAATTTGCAACATTTTGCAACACTGGGCCACATTCCCACGTAGCAATAAGAGAATGAAGCTGCGTTGCCACTGCCCACTGAAGACGGTATCTGTGTCCTCAGCTTTGACAGTTGCCCACCCAGGTAGCGTCAGTCCTATTTGAGCTTGTAACCCTGAAGAAGTCACCTTTTCCTTTTTTGCTTATCTTTTTTTTTAGTGACAGTGTCTTGCTATGTTGCCCAGGCTGGACGTGCAGTGGCTATTCACGGGCACAATCATAGCATGCTGCAACGTTGAACTCCTGGGCTCAAGCGATCCTTCCGCCTCAGTCTCCTGAGCAGCTGGGACTATAAGCATACACCAACATACCTGACATCTTTTCCTTTTTATGTTTCCGTTTTATTATAACTTCTCATTTTGAAATAGTTTAAGGCAAGAAATTGCAAAAAGAATACAGATGGTTTCTATGTACCCTTCATCCAGGTTCCTCCCATGATAAGAAATCATCTTTAACACTTTCTTTTTTTGCTGCCTATATATGCAGCATGTCAGGTGCCAGCCTTTTAGGTTTTACCTCTATACTCCCTCTTGTATCTGCCTTACTTTTCAGGCTCCTTGCCCAAAACCAATTCAAAGCCTTTTTTCCTTTTCCATGGACTCTGCAATAGTCTAATTGGACTCCTCGCCTCCCTTCTTTCCCTTCCCCAAGCTCTCTAACAGACTACCAGAGGCACCTTCCTAAAGAACAGCTTGCTCTCCTGCTCACAATTTTCAGTGACCCTCTTCATTGCCTGCCAAGTTCAGTTACATTCTTTACTCTGACATTCAAAAACTCTCCACAATTTGGCTCCAGACTTTTGGACTTCATGGACGAGTAAAATTTCAAAACAAAATCTAGGAACAAACATACTGTTGCTATCTTTTTCTTATGCCAAGTAAAGTCATTGAAAAAAATCCCACCATTGACTAACATCATTTCATTTGTAAAAGGACATTTTGCTATTAAAAACAAAAAGTAAGGGACTAACAATTTCAGGGTACAGTACAGTCCTGCCCAGCAAGGACAATTAACAACTATGTAGCAATCTATTTAAGTATGCTGTACTTAACTTTTTTTTAAAAAGCAGGAGTTGGTGAAAACTTTACCTGGGATCAGCACTGAACAGCAGATGAACATTAGGAAGCCAATGGTTCAGGTAAAGTTGACCATTGAGCTCTCTGGAATACACCTATGCTTTTCTGCCTCCCAGCCTGTTCCATATACTTGCAATGCTGTCCCAGCCATCAGGCCCCTTCCCTTCCGGTGTGTATCCTATCAATCCACTAAGGACCATCTCAAATGCCACCTTCTCCATGAACCTTTTCCTTATCCCTTACCAATCCCGCTGTAATTTCTCCCTCTTTTCTTTGAATTCCCCTAGCACTTTCTTTACCTCTGTAAGCACTTTTAAGATATCATTTAAGTCCTTTGAGTATTTATCTTCCCTATTCAATTAAAAGCTTATCGAGCCTTGAGATACATCTTTGCAGCACGCTAATTTGCATTTAATAGGCAGTAACTCTATATTTTATGAATGAGAGGATATATAGATGATCTAATTTTTACTTCCTTTCCCAGTCCTTTTCCCTGTGAGAACAGGAATATGTTCTGGCAGTGACTTACCAGGAAATTGGAGGGAAACTAATAGGTTACATATTTCCACTGTCTTTTGTGTATTCTCCCTTTTGTCTATTTTAATAAGACTATAACTGAAAGAAATTAATTGAGGTAGCATATACCTCAACTGGTATCACTCATTCAACATGAATTTATAAAACCCTAGGTGGTATCTAAAACTAAGTGTCACTTCTAACTTGGAAAAAGTGAAGGTCATATAACCGGATGGATATTCAATGCCCCACATAAAATGATCAGTAAGCAGCTCTGTCTACACAACAGATTTGTGTCAGTTATATTCCCAAAGCAATCTTTTTTCATGGCCACAATTACTCAGGTTTGTAAGAGTTCACCAACCAGACGGAGAGGAACCTTTTTATGCAAAGGGCCACATAGTGAATACTTTAGGCTTGATCTTCTGTTGCAGCTACTCAGTACTGCCATTGTAGTGGGAAAGCTGTCATGGACAATAAGTAAACAAATGGGCATGGTTCTAGTCCAATGAAATTTTATTTACAAAGCCAAGTGGCAGGCTGGACTTGGCCCTCAGGCCATAGTTTGCCTTTCAAATAGAATTGAGGCAATAACAGTTAAAATGAAGGGTCAGGCCAGAGGATTTTAAAGTGGGGAGGCACTGGCAGGAATCCAAGAACCTAATCTCTAATTCTTTTAATAAGAGTCAGAGAAAGAGAAGAAAAAAAAAACTACTACCTTTAAATAAAGTTATAAACACCAGAAATAAAGTCAGACAACTATAGGGATAAAGGGGATAAAGAACCAAGAGGTTCAAAATGTTTTGACATTGGTATTTTTATTAATACAAGATCTACACAAAACAGTGCAGGAACTTCTTTAAAACAGTAATATTGTATTCAAGAGTTAACATTTAAGGAACAAGTTTAAGGAATTTAATGCTGCAAATGCTGGTGCAAGAGGGGGTCTTTATATACAAGAAACATCAAGCAAAATTAGAAAATTACTTTAAAGAGGCACAACAATATTTAGCGAGCTGTCGATAGAATGCTTTGCTGCCAGGTATAGTTTAGAAAGAGGCAGGACAAGAGGTATTTTAGGCCCAAGGAAGTAAAAGTGAGAAAAGTGAGCGCTCTCTCTCTATACATGTATGTGTGCAGGTGAAAATGAGTTCAACTAAGACTCAGTGTAATCCTACTCTAAATTCATCTTGCTTGACAATAACTTCTCTGACTACATCCTAAACTTGCTACGACAGCACAAAATATGCCCTCAGATCATTTGGGCAAGTTCCCTGACCTCAGGCATGTCAAATATCACTCCTATGTTACTTCTTTTTGAAGGACTAGAGTCCCCAGACTTGGTCCACTTTGTGGTTTCTATATCTTTAACTCCTACTAGACAAGTATGTTAGTAACACCTTTCTGTACAAATTTTACTTCATGTATCAGGATCTTAAGCTATGGAATTCAACACTGTAACTATGCTCTAATATGATTAAGGACAAAACAAAACAAAAACAAAACTTCAAATTTTTTGCAGAATAAAGCAAGGTATGAAGGGATAACTGAGATCTCTTTGCTTCTAGGACTTGGGGGATTAGGGAAGGTGGCCTGGTCCACCCCCTTGTATTTTCAACCTGTTTCTTCTTTTTCATAATGCCTTCCAATAAAACCAACATTCTCCTCACCACCTTCTACCAGCAGAGTAGGTCCCATAACAGTTCCTTTATTCTCACAATAGGATTACAGCAAAATCCCGAGTTTATAAAATGTTCTTGTTCTCAGCACAACATGCAACGTTCCCCACCTTTATTTTTCTACCTGCCTAGTTTGAAAAGGTAATGTATTTTTTTTTTGGTTAATTTGCTTTTCATTTTGTGACGATATATTCTCTCCTATCTCAAATGATCCAAAGGCTGCATTTGTTTAAGAGTTTATCAGCTTAGATGTTGATTAGGGGTGGACAGAATACTAGTTTGGGATAATCAGGAGACACAGGGTCCTAGTACTGGCTCTGCCACTAACCATGTCATTTTGGAGATTTATGGGCCTCAGTTTCCTCATATGTTAAACAAGGAAGGTAGATATGGTCTCTGACTTCCCTTCTAACAGTCTATGATGTGAATTACAACTATCAATTAGTATGATGCCACAAAAGGTGAGGAGCAAAGTTAATAGCATATGTAGTGAATGCATTTTTCAGACATTTTTACAATATCTAGAAAACCTTATGATATAGATCCAAGATCTCCTTTAAAATTCTAACTTAAGATATAACAAGGTTTTGGATATCCCAATTACCCTAATTTGATTAATTCACATTGTATGCCTGTATCAAAACATCACATGTACCCTATAAAGATATACAACTATTATGTACGCATAATTCAAAATAAAAAATTAAAAAAAAAGAAATAATAAGATTTAGTAACGCCAGACTTTCAGATATGTGCAGGAAATACAGTTAGTATTTTAGTGCAATGTTTCTAAATCCTTTTTGTGTTATTGGCCCTCTATGGAGCCTCTTTAGACATTTTCCTCCTAATTGCTCCCCCTTCACAAAATTTTAACACCACAGATACATTGTATATCTGTTTATGTGTACTGTATATCGTGCTTTATACATAAAAAGAGTAAAAATTTTTCACACCTCCCCCAAGAACCAATTTTCTCCCCCCCCCACCCGTCCCCCCCACCTTGGGGGAAATATCACCCATTGAGAATGTGTAATTTAGGAGTTCAAGCTTCTGTGGTACCTAAACTTTCCGCTCAAATAAAAACTAGGTGTAAAACCAGCCAAACTTATTTGCTTGACAACCATATCGTCTCAAGTGTGCTGGAGGTGAAGGCCAGAGGTGACAAAACAGTTGAGAGAATAGACAAAAATTAAAGTCATGGCAGAAGATCTGGAGGCAAGAGGGGGAGGATGCTCAGTTTCTTCAAAGGAGTGGGTAAGAGATGGGGTAAAGTTAGAAAAAGGTCGTGCTCCACACCAGCTGGTTGCCGCTTTCAGGTCCTGGTGCACTGTCAGGAGAGGACGTTCAGGCGTTCAAGTTCAGATGTGTGTCAACCTCAGGGTGGGTGCACGCTCTCCCTCGGGTCAGCCCGTCCCACTCCCGCCCAGGCTGAGGGTGGGATCTCTGGACATCAGAAACAAGGGAGATAACTGCAGAACCTCGACAAATAAAAGGATAGGAGTGCTATCGGAAGTCACTTTCTCCCACACCTCCCCACCCCCCGCACCTTCTTGCCTCCTCCATTATCTCAACCTTGCTCACCTAAGTCCATTGATCAAAGGGGCGCTGTTGGATCGTCTCAGGATGTTGCAGTGTGTGCTGGTGGAACCTGGAAGCAGCTCCAAACCTAGTTCCATTTTGTCCTGTGCCATGTCCGGGTCGAGGAAGAAGCTACTGCTTAGTTTGAGGTTCTCAAGGCTTTTTGACTCCCGTTCACTTACGCACAAGTCAACTTGGTGGGGAGATGATGTAAGGAGAGAGGCAAAGGGGAAAAAGAGAAGAGAGGAGAAGGCATTTTAGACGAGTGGAGATGCTCACCTTTGCAGCCCGAGCTTTCATAACACCAGTGAACACACAAAGTTGGGCAGGACTGGTCCCGAACCTACTATCCCCCATTCTCGCCGCACCCCCCACCGACGAGAAGGTTCCCCACCTCCAACCCTATAATGCAAACAGGGAATTCATCTCAGTCACCGTCGCGAAACCTGCTCCTTCATCTCTCTCAGCCGCGGCAACCGCGGGTAAGCTTTTCCGACCAAAACAGCATCTACAAAAACCGCCTTTGAGGATTAGTTGGGTTCCGCCCCTGTACGCATGCGCCCTGCGTCCGGCTTGACGACGCATGCTTTTACGCGAGCCATTAGCGTAACTGCAGGCGCCTTTGTCAGCCCTGCCAGCGAAGCATGCGCAGTCAAGGAGCTGCCGTTCCCCCTTTGTCGTGCCCTCCCTTCTGTGTTTCTAGTGCAGACTTGCTGTGGTTATTTCTCTACTCCATTGTTAACCCTGGCATGGTTTCCTTAACCATTATTTAGGGAGGAAAAAGGTTGGGAGGAGTGAGGTGTATGGGAGTACCATCCTTTCTGCCTTGTGTCTAATATTCAGTTTTCTCAGTTTTGGCTAGCCCAACATCACCTTATGACCGAGGCCAAGAAGCTTGTTACCTCTCCTGACGAATTTTTCCACACTGTAACAGCAGACACACTACACCTTCGTAATTTTTAAAAAGCTAAAGTCTGAGAAGAAAAAAAAAACACTCCTAAGTGCTTAGAGGCCACTTACTCCCAAAGAGTCTTGGTAAGGCGCTAACCTAATTGAACCAATTTCGCAGACCAGTCGTTTTCAATGTGGTTTCATTTCTTACCGTAATCGTCCAGTGTGTATTTTTACATTGTATAAAACCTGGCTCCTCACAGCTATTCGTCTAAGAAACAGACTACTCTGCTAATTTTCAAAGATTTGAGTTAAAGCAGTGAGGCTTATTTTCTTAAATATTTCAGAATTTAGCATTCATCTAAATCAGTGTTTTCATTTCAGGTAGTATTAGAGGGTATACACATTCTAACAGTGCTGCCATGGCTCATAACATTTTAAGAACTGCTCTTTTAATTAGCTGGGCGTGGTGGCAAGCACCTGCAGGAGGCTAAGGCAGGAGGATGCTTGAGCCCAGGAGTCTGAGGTCGCAGTGAGCTACGATGACATCACTGCACTCTAGCCGGGGTCAAAAAAGCAAAACCCTGTCTCAAAAAACAAAAACAAAAACAAACAAACAACCCCCAAAAACAAAAACCCCCAAAACTGCTTTTTTAGAATTTTTCACCACCAATTAATAAGCCACATTGAGTACTGAAATCTTAACTCCATGTTAATAATTTTGTAAAACCACATTTTAGGAACCATATAGAGAACTGGCAGAGAAGACAAATAAACCTATTGAAATGAGAGCTATTGATTAAAATAGTCATAAAATTCATATAGCACTTTACAGTTTACAAAATGTTTTCACATACTTATCTCAATTGGTTCAATCATTAACCCTGCTCAGCTAATCAGTGAACTTAAAATATGGGATTGTCTTGAGATAGTTCGTGGCAAGTTATGACATGTAAGATCACAATCACTTATTCGTTCATTCTGGGAATAGAATAAGGAAAACTTGATTATGTTAGGGAGAATTAGATTACCTAAATCCCAGACATGAGGATGATTTGGAGTCTCCATTCCTGATGTAAAACAGGTTAATAATAGCTACCATTTGTTGGGCACTTATTATGTGCCTGGTACTCCCCTAATCATTTTAAATATATGATCACATTTAATGCTTACAATAATTCTGTGAGGTAGGCAATATCACAATGCCCATTTTTCAAAGAAGGAAACCAAAGCCCAGAGGGGTTAGTCAAATTACAATTATGAAGTGGCAAAGCCAAGATTCCTCTGCCTTTCTGGTTTTGTTTTGTTTTGTTTTGTTTTTGTTTTTGTTTTTTTGAGACAATGTCTCACTTTGTTGCCAAGGCTAGAGTTCAGTGGCATCATCATAGCTCACCGCAACCTCCAACTCCTGGACTCAAGCATCCTCCTGCCTCAGCCTCCTGGGTAGCTGCCATGCCCAGAGGGCTATTTTTTTTTTCTTTTCTTACTTTTTTTTTTTAATTTTATAGAGACAGAGTCTGGCTATGTTGCTCACGCTGGTCTCAAACTCCTGGCCACAAACCCAGGCCTCTGAAAGTGCCAGGATTACAGCCATGAGCCACCTCGCCCAGCCTCCTCTACCTTTCTATTTAAGTAAAAAGATGGAAGTATCTCTGAATATTTTCCTGGACACTTTATGTACTCATAAGCACTCAGTAAATACTTATTAAGTCATTTTCTGAATAAATATAGGTTTAAATAACCTGTCTTTCATAACTATCTTGTAAATTAGTTAAATCATTTCTTATTTTACAGCTGATAAAATTCCAAAGAGATTAATGGCCCATAGTTAGGTAGCCACAGAATCCAGGCTAGTACCAAGAACTACTGAATGCCACTGGTAAAATACCCAGGGTACCTGGAAAGTTTACAAAAGATGGTGGTTAATGCTGAGTAAAACCAGGGTGAACAGAAAAGGCAGTGGTTAAAGACAGAACAGAAAGTCAAAATCAAACCATCTGAATAGTAGAAAAATATGGAGTACACCAGTCAACAAGTGGATCTTACTTCCATTCTACCATGAATTTTACCTTTCAGAGTTTAATATTCATGACAGGTAATAAGATTTAATGAATACATTTGGAATGAATAGACAAAATCTCATCCTGCCTAAGCATCGCAGATATTTAAGTTTTAAAAATCAAAATACAATAACACTAAGAAAATAGGTATCACAAAATGACAAGGAAAAAGCAACTAAGGGACTATGTTTATAAGAAAAGGGGCAGTAATATGAAATGACTAAATATATGAGATGGTAATAAGTTTACAGCTATTACCAAAGAGGAGGAACTCTCTTTACCTAGAGAACAGCTACATGTCAGGAACCCAAAACCTGTAAGATATAGACAGGATTCATAGTACATACACAGGTTGGAATATCAAAAGGAACAAGGACTACAAAAACAGAATTCGCACTACAATGGCAAATATAACACTTACAGAAATTATTTTTACTTTTCCCCATTTCTACCTACACATTATTATACCCACCTAACTGTGTTTCATAATCAGCTTTTTCGGTTCCACCGCAACATGCCATGATCTTGGGGAACTGGTTTCCTTAAATCCACGCCTTGACTCTTGATGCTTCTCCTCTCCTCGTACCTCCCAGTCTGCTACCATCTGTCCCAGGCCTCTTACCTATAAAAGATATCCCATGAATATGTCATAATCATTTCTTCAGTTTACCAGTTGCCATGGCAACCTTTAAGCTACATTTTAACTTTTAGTTAGCACAAGAGCAAGTCAAATACAAGTTGAACCCAATCCCCAAAACCAAAAACACCCAAACACCTCCCAGAAGACTTACGTGAAAGGTAAAAAGAAACTAGGTAGACAAGAACTATGTGAATAAATTCCCGTGGAAATGGTTGCCAAGGTAGCGCCCTTCTCACATTCTTTGAGCTTCTCCTAAATTGTTAATCTCCTGAAAGTTAGAGATTTTACTAAATTGTTTGACTCCTCAGAATTAGGGCCTGTACATGTGGTCAACGAATGATTATTTAGTAGCTATTCTGAACAAAAGAGTGTATTATAATTTTTTGAGCAGGGAGTGGAAGGGTGGGGGTTGGAAGTTGCACAGATCTTGAGATGAAAAGAGATACATAAATTGCTCAGAAACAGAGGTTGTTGTTTTTAATCTAGCTGGCAGAAAAATACAGGCAATTTGAAGGAGACTATCCAAAACTGTTTTAAAACCCCTCATATTACAAGCAGAAAGCATAAACACTGAGGAATAAAAATGACAGTTGGGCTTGGTAAGTTTAATATGGGACAATTGAACTGAAGAGGCAGGCAAAATTATTTTTTTTGCTAAATTTTGAAACCAATTACATAACTATTGCAGTTCAGTGCAGTGGCCTTCTTTTCCCCAAGGCCATTCAAATGGTGAAGATTTAATGAGTTAATATTTCTAAAACTCTTAGAACAGTGCCTAATACATAATAACTTTCTTGCTATGTGGGTGTTTATTAAATAATTAAATAATTCCAAGTCTCACACACACTGAGTCATGATTGTTAGGGACTCCGTAAATCCTAAAAAGAAAAAAAAATGGTTCTGCTACCTGTTCTTCAGGACTTTTCCTAATATTGTTGAAGCTGAGGGTGCTTGCAAAATGGAGATGAGTGTTTCTCACTAGCTATATGAACTCTCATGAGATTCGCTTTATTTTTACTTCATTGTTTTTGATTTTTTCCCTTCTCCTTTGTCTAGTGCATCCAAATGAATGATCTTAAAAGGAAATCAGCCCCTCTAGACAAAGACCAACAAGATCGAGGGATTTAAGAAATGAGCGGGGATCACAGATGTCAGAGCGTACAAATTGGGAATGAAGTAATGTGGAAATTCCATGTTTTTCCTATTTCTCATGAATATTGGCCCAAACTCCTGCTGAAAGCTGATGCTCCAGCATCTCCAAACCATTGGTTCTTTTCGAAATCGGGCGCCAGAGTACTCGGGCCAATGCCATAGAGAAAGGCGCCGGGCGCCCTGGAAACGCTCCGCCCCTTTGGGGGCGTGGCGAGGGCGGGGCTCCCACGTATGCTCTGTGCTCGCTGGCCCATTGGAGCGACCGCCGGGCGCGTGCGCAGGACCCGCTGGGCGCCCGGACGCGGAACTGGCCCGGTGAAGGCTCCAGCTTTTGAAGCGTGGGAGGCGGAAGAGGCTGCAGGTTGTAGATTTCGATCTTGGCCCTAACGGGTTACCCCGGACCATTAGAACCCAAGGGAGGAAGAGGAGGCACCGCGGCGGCGACTGAGAGGCCGAACCCCTCCACCTGTCCTCGAGGCGGGAGGAGAGCAGGGAGGGGAGAAGCACCGATCCCGGGGCTGAGGAGCCTCCGGGAACGGATCCCAGAGCATGGGGGGCTGGACCGGGTCCTCGAGCATGGCGAGCTGGAGCCGCCGAGGCAGCCCGGCCAGGTGCTGCCCGACTGTCAGGTCTTCGGTTGCAGCATTGCTCGGAGAGCCACGGCATCTGTAGCCGAGTCCCGCTTGTGGTCCTCGGCGGGAAAGATAGCAGCATGAGTTCCGCCGCTGTCTAGTTTCCTCCCCCTCCTCTTCTCCCTCGGTTCTCCTTCTCCTTCCTCGCTCCTCTTCCCTATACCTCTTTTTTTTTCCCTATACCTCTTACTTCTTCTTTCCCGCCTCTGTACTACTCTTTCCCCTGCCCCCGACCTCCTCCATCCCCTCAGTCCCCCTTTGCTCCGTCTTCTTCTCTCCCTTCTGCCCTCCTCCTCTTATCCTTTCTGTCCTCCTGCTTTTCCATCTATCCTTTTCCCTCCTTTGTCCTCGTTTCCCTCCTCCCTCCATCCTTGTCTTCCCTCCATCGCTCTTTTTTATCCATCCTCTTCCTTCATTCTGCCACCTTCCACCACAATCTCTCTATCCTCTCTTTACTCACCACTGTCTTCCTTTCCTCATCAGCATCCTCCTTCCCTCCTCCTTCTCTCCTACTTTTCTCCGCCCCCAGCCCCCAAGCCTCCGCCCCTTAGCCCCCGCCCCCAGCTGCCTGCCAGTTCCCAGCAGCTCGGTCCTGCAGTGAGAGTCTTGGGAGTCCATAGCTAAGCACCAGGAGCTGAGCGCTGCCCGCTGTGCCTGCCCACAAGTCTCAACATGGCTCAGGAGAAAATGGATCTGGACTTTGAGCCTGACACATCTGATGGGGGAACCCTAAGGAGAGCTAACAGCGCTCCCCTGATCCATGGGCTCAGGTGAGCAGGGTTGGAGAGGATGGAGTACGGGGTTCAGGGGCTCCTTGACCCGGTGCAAGCAGTCTTCCTTCCCTGAAGTGCGAGTTTGAGCTCATTTGGGCGCTCCAAACTGAGGGAGTAGGGATTTGTTTGCTTGACAGTGCCTTGAGTCCCAAGGTGGAGTGAAAGTTTGACCCCAAACTCTGGGCAGTGTCGGGGAAACAGGGCCCCCCTCTACCTGGAGCCGTGTTGTCCCACTCTAAAAGGAACTGCAGAGAGCTTCTGGCTCTTCTGACAGGTTGCTTGCTCTGCCTAATTTACAGCACGGAATGTCAGACCGAAGCCCCTGGAACTAGACTTGCAACTTGATACCTGTCTCTTAGAGCAGCTATTTCCAAGCTTAGTTTAGGAACCCTGGCATTAATAGAGGTTTACTTTAATAAATCACAATTTATCTAATAACTTGCAATTAAATGGTGTGTTCACGTCATAGTAAGTGATTTGGATTTGTCCTAATGTTTTCAGATTCTAAAACTGCCTGAAATGCATTTCAGTGAATAAAAAAAGAAGGGTGGCTTGCAGCTTAGGTCAGTGAAAACACAGGTTTTAGAAAACAATGGAGAGAATTGACCCTTGGATTTTAGTGGTGGGGTCTTGTGTTTTCATGTGAATAAGTCCCCAGGGGGTCGATTTTAAGGTAGAATCTTGTGATCAGGGAAGGTTAGGTCTGCTCACCTCCTGAGCCTATTGCATTTCACTTTTATGAGTAGACAATTCATCTTAGGTAGAGAGCCAATTTGTGAGACCCTGTAGAAATGGCATTAGTCCAAAAAGGGGATGGAACTGGAATTAGCCAACAACATATTAATCAAGCACAGCGAAGGCAAAGAAAGAAGTAATCCTTGTCTGTCGAATTGATGGTAGTATTCGTGTTTTGAAACAGGTTTACTTTTTTCTTTAATCTTGAAACTGAGGGAATGATGAAGTGACTTTTTGCTTTCCTCTTGCTGCCCTTGGCCCTGCATTTATTTTTGATACTATAAGAATAAACTGATCTTTTTCTGATTGTCCTTTTAAATATGTTAAGAAAGGAATTGCTAGGGACTTGGGCAATCCTAGTGACCTGCATTGTGACTACTGTAGAAAAAACATACTGTTTTTTGAGTCATAATTGAAGTAATTACTGGAAAGGTAGCATGATGTGACAGAAGAAAGTGAGGAGACCCGGCCTGATCCCTATTTTAACTAATGAGCTATGATCATGAATGAGTCATTTAACCTTTCTGAATCTCTGTTTTCTTGTTTAAAAAGTAGGAGAACTGACTTAGGTGATCTCAGTGATCCCTGGAAGCCTGATCCAGTTCAGGTCTGAAAATCCTTCTTGAGCTCTTATTGTAGGCATGGCACTCTGCTAGGCACTGCAGGGATATTATACAAAGATGAATGAAACACCTCTGTACCAAGGGGTTTAAGACACACGCATACTTTAGTGAGAGGTGAAGTAGGTGTCTCAGGAAGCATTTCATCTCCCAGTGTGCTCTCTGGGGTCAAAGGAGGGAATGATTGCATTAGGTTTGTGGAATGAAGAGAGGTTTGTGCCATGCCTTCATGGAGGGCATGGTATTCAAGATGGGTGTGGAAGGACAGGAAGGATTTTGACAGATGGTGGTAGGAGCGAAGGCATTTGAGGCAGAAGGGGCAACATGAGCAAAACCTCATGTTGCCCCTTTATTCAGTTGAACAATGGCATTTAAAGGTAGGACACATGTTTAGGGCAGTAGTGGGAGATGTGCTGATCGGGCTCATGTGTTAGGACAGGGTTCCCAGCCCTTTTCACGTCATGACACACACGTTACAAAGAACAGTAATACCCGTAGGTCCTCTGGGGCAAAAAGATGAGGCTTCTCATATCTGGTGGTAACCAGTTTGGGGACGTAGCTCTGACCAGAAGCAGCTAGAAGCAACCAGTCTGGAGCTCCGCCCCACACCTCTCAGAGCTGCCTCCCAACCACTGAGGAGATCATATCTTGGCAAACCTGTAATCCACAGCACGCCAGTTGGGAAGCTCTGCAGAGAGGACGGTGAGGAGTTCATTCTCTGTACGAAATGAGGAGCCATCGAAGATTTCATTGTTAACTGAAGAACTTATGCTAATATATTTGAAAGAGGTCTTCAATTAGAAGACATTAATAATTTTCTTTTTATTTTTCAGTGACCTTTCACAGGTTTTTCAACCATACACATTGAGAACTCGGAGGAATAGCACAACAATTATGAGCCGTCACAGTTTGGTAAGTATCGAAGTAAGTATCTGAAATGATTTAGATTGGGGAAGACACTTGCAAATGTAGTTCTTTCTTAAAATTATGTGCTAGGCACAATTGTTTAAAAAAGAAAAGATATATTATTTTACCTATCTTGTTTACTGCTTATGCTGTGGCCATTCAGCTTTTGGTACAGAAAGGAGACCTGGTTAAAAATTTTTTCTTTGCCATGGGACTTATATATTTTTAAAAATTGTTAATTGGTATTTGTCACTACTTGCATCATGGTTGTGAGGTAAGTCAGGATTAACTTCTAATTATAGTTAAGAACAGTGGTCTTTATTTGTCCCAGAATGCAAAAATTGCTTAAACAGCAACAGAGTATTTGTTTCTGACACTTGTCTGTTAGACAATGCTGGTTTTCCAAAGTAAAGACTCCTTTAAAATGCTTATATTTATATTCTCAGAGGAGTTGGTGACTGTGACTGTTCTCTATAGCCAGAACTGTTGGGGATCGCTTTATTAGTTGGCCGCATTGGGAGAAGTTATGATGAGGTTTTTATATAATAGCAGTTCACCTATGGAGCTCACTTATCCGGCAGGTTCAATTATCTGGAAGACATCTGAGATGTAAGCAAATAGACCTCTAAATGGCTGAAGTAGATTTCCATAGTCTATGCACAAACGTTCATCAGTTTATTTATAGGACAGTCTCTCTGACCTCTGAATCATCTAAAATTTATGCACAATTATAAGCTTCCAGCCCAACAATGTGTGAGAAGAAGCAAACAGTAGAGGTACATTTGGGTGAAAGGTATACTAATAGCTGCTAGTGAAGGAGGAGAGGGAAAAACTGAAAAGCAGACAGAGGTTTTTAAAAAATTAGCTTGTGGCCTAGTATAAGGGCTAAGAGCCTGTTAACATTACCCCGAGGATGTCACCGGCATAGAACCATATAATAATTTCTGTTCTTAAGGATACCAGGGTCATTAACTTTGTCTTAAATTCTAGTAATACCCTACACTTGTATTTTACATGTTACAAAGTACTTTCACACATTTAATTCTCATAACAACCCCTATGAAGTAGGCAGAGCAAGAGATATTTTTCCCAATTAAAAGAAGCAGCAGTTGAGACCCAAATGATGTAAGTGAGTTGCTCAGAATCATGCAATTAGTAAGTGGCAGAGCTGGTATTAGAATAGAGATCTTCCAGTGCCATTCTACTTGGTATAATCTGTTTAAGAAAGGGAAATACATTTTAGAAAGATTTCCAGCTGAAGTGGCTAAAAGTACTTAAAGGGGAAAATGTTAGCTGTACGGAGGATTGATTCACTTCACCTCCTTCCCTAAGGATACTGAAAAATATTATTTATTTTTGCTGAATATATGAAAAATGCTTATAGGTGTTAGACAGCTATGCTTCTGATAACAGTAGCACAGCCAAGAAGGGAAAATGAATTTGCATCTTTACACTTCACTTAGCTCTTTTGTAAGATGTGAAGATTCTTACCAACTCTGGTCTAGGCTCATCTCTCGCTGCTCCCTGACAAATACCTCTTTGCTCCAGCTGCACTGAAATACCTCGTTTCTGAAGGGGCCATGGTGATTCACTGCTCTTTGTTGATCCCTGTGCTAGCCTTCACCCCGTCCCCCTCTCCCTTCTAGCTTTCTGGTCCTTCAAAACTCAGTTTAATCCTTGTATCTCCTCTGGGCAGGCTCCCGCAACTATCATAATATTAATTACACTATGTACATTGTATCACGGTATGCTTTATAAATCTTAGTACGCTTATCTGAGTCTCAGGGTAACCTGCAAAGAGGAAGGTGTCGACAAATGAAATGGAAAGGAGGGTTCTAGGGAGAAGGCATGCAGAAGTAGAATCTTCATGGCCACCAGCTGATTAGATATAAGGGTTGGAAGAAGGAAGACTCCAAGTGACTGAAATTTTGTTTCTTGGTGACCAGGAGAATAGTGCTGCCTTGATAGGGAGAACAGAAATAGAGAGTATTGGTAGTTTGAAGGGGAAGAAGATGAATTCTTTTGGGGAATGTCGGGTTCAAGGTGCCCCTGGCCCCATGCTGTTCTCCACAGCAATATTTTAAATCTTTTTGGTTTTCAGTCTCTGCCAGTTTCCTGTGTCACCACTTTTCACTTTGAGCAGATGACCCTTCTTGCCTCACAGAGAAGACAGACACCTATCTTGTACAAATGTCAGCTTTCTTCGCCTTGAAGTGTCTTTACCTTCACATATGGCATTTCTCCCTAATGGTTCATAAAAGCTTTTGACTTTCCTGTCGCTTTGCTTGGTCTATTGTCTCCTCTCTGTCTCCTGTCTTTGCTCTCTTCCTCACCGGCTCTTTTCCTTCCACCTTCTCCCAACTCACGCATCCAATATGGGGAAAACAAACTGTTTTCTTTTTCATAGGTCTCTCCTCCCCCTCTCCAAGCTTTTTCAAAGCATAACCTACACTCCACTGCCTCTAATTCCTGGTCTCCTCATTTCTGGCTGTTTCGTAATCACACTGCTTCTACCACAACTCTGTTATAAAAAAACTGTTCTCGCAAAATTCATCAATACCCACTTAACTGCCAGTGTCGGGGGCTTCATTTCTTTTCCCCCTTGAGCTCTTTGCTTTACTTAACCCGTTTAGCCAGCATCTCCTTGGAGTGCTTGCCTTTTTTTCCATATAATACATTAGTCTCTTATTTCTGGTGTTAGACACAGCTTTGCTGCTCTCTGTCCCTCTTTCTGGTCTACTTTCCAGTTTTGTCTAAAATTGTCAATTTGTATATTATGTAGATGTTGCATCTAAATTTCTGATTTTTTCCCCAGTCAGTTTTTGGCCATTCTCATATTGGCTTTTCTGATAATTTCACTGCCTCCTGGGTCTCTGGTTCTCTGACTGACACATCCAGGCTCTCTTCCACGTTATTCTGTTAGAGAGTCTTCCTGCTGTATTTGCTTGCATCGTAGCTTAGTGTTTTTCAAATGACTTACGCAGCGTTCACCAGTAAACACGCATTACTTTCATAATGGAAAAAAAGATACTTTTTAAATGGATTTTACTGGTAAAGTTTTTCTCTTTTTGAAGCCTGGGAGAGGAAAAAGTAGAAGAAAGGGGTGGATAAAGAAGGGATATCTTTTGAGGTAAAATCATATTTCAGCGGATAACTTTTAAAAATTTTACCTGTATTAGCTTTTGCCTAAAAAAACTTAGAGCAGTCTATCACCATTTTATACTGCTCACTACATTAGTATTCACAAATGTCTTCATAGCATAGGGCCACTTAAACAGGATAGTTGTCTTATAATAGTGTTACAAGTTTATTTGCGTTTCATTAGGGAATGAATAGTAGTTGTTTATATTATAGCTATTAGACCTCTCAAAGATCTGTTGATATGAATTGTATCTTACAGTTTGTGACCAGATTATGATTATTATGAAGGAACATAATTTGGCCCCCAAATCATTTTTGTTTTGTGTTATTTAAAAAAATGATGATTTAATATTTTGAAATTTGAAAAAAATGATGATCTAAGGGAAAGCATCAGTTATTTTAAAGATACACCTTGTCTTTCTACATTGATTTTTCTTTAGCTAGTAAGATTTGTAGTGATAGCATTAGTGATCAAATTTTAGGATTGATTTAGATCATGTAAGCAAAATCTCCTTATTGCAATTTTAAAGTGCTCTCTATAGACGTTAATCATAGACAAAATATTATACTAAGCTTATTAGACTGTCTTCCTCCACTGGTGCATTGGTAATAAAAATTAATAACATTGGTATTTTTTTCTTTCCCTTCTCATATAGTCCCTTATTTTAGATAAGTGGGATAATGGATATTTTGAAGGCCTAGAGTCTTTTTTTTCCCTAAATTTACGCAGCTTTGCATTCATTTGGGAAAAGTGCTAAAGTCAGTGTCTGTCTAGCGACAGATGGTGCTTTGAGGTTGGACACCTGGTGTACTTTCTAAAGACTGAATGTACTGCCTCTAGTGCATTAATGTTCAGTGATTTAAAGAGCTAAATTTCTAAGAAGAATATGAAAAATTATCTTGGAAGAGGTTGTACACCAGTACTGACAGCAGACTGCTGCTTTGTGATTCAGAAAATAGTAAATGTTTACTTTTTCTTTCCAGTTGCTGTCATCCTCACCTAATCGTATTCCTAGTAGCAGACTGCAACAAATCAAAAGGGTAAATTTTACTTACTAGCTCAGATTGGAAATTTTTTGGATTTCAAATTTTTATTTTTATTTTTATTTTCATTTTGAAGATTTAGATATTAAAAATGAGTTAGGATGCAACTTTGGTTAGTTGGAGACAGATTACAGTTCTTCTGAGTGTGCGGATAAAATATAGATATGGCATGGGTGATAATCTTAGAATGTTCTGCTCTAGTTTGATTATATCAGATGAGGTAGAAAAGTCTTTTTGTTTTATTTGAAATTGAACACTCTATGGATAGAAGTTACATCTTTATTGCTAAGTTCTGGGTTAATTTTAAATAAATAAAAAATCAAAATTACATCTTTAGCACATATGTTTGTTTTTGCAGGAAGAAGGCCTGGATATCATGAACAGAGAAACTGCACATGAAAGGTTAGTGTTTCGTAAGAGCAGAGTGTAGCCTAAGACATGTCTTATTTGTGAACACTGATGACCTTTCATTTTGTTTCTTTTAGGGAAGTGCAAACGGCAATGCAGATAAGCCAATCATGGGATGAGAGCTTGAGCCTGGTAAAGTTTGCCCATGTCTGCTTGGTTTTTCCAGAAACCTATATGTCATTCACTGGCTTCATAAACTTTTTCACACACTTCTGTCCCTTCTGCTTCCAAATCGATACTTGTTTTTTGGATCTCTCTTTTCCTAGCAGAATATTAGAGTCTCTACATTTATTTCTACTCGAAAAATGTAGGTGTGTTATAGTAGTAAATAAGAGCTGTGATGTGCTGAATTTGTTATAAGGAGATGACACTTTATGTTTACAGAGTGATAGTGATTTTGACAAGCCAGAGAAATTATATTCTCCAAAGAGAATTGACTTCACTCCAGTTTCTCCAGCCCCTTCACCCACCAGAGGATTTGGAAAGGTAGGATGATTGACAAGGTATTAATTCTCTTTCACACACTAAGCTGTTTACTCTCTAAAACACATATATGCAAATCACCTCACTTTTAAAGGATCTAGACACTTGAAAGGAAATTAGTGAAAATCTATAGTTTGAAAAAAAAAATATGTATAAGACAGACACATAGCTAAGCTAGTCTAAGGATGTTGCTTCTGTCATTATGAATAAAGCCTTTTGAAAACTGGAGTGCTAGAACTATTTTAATATTAAATATGTTTTTTCTAGCAATGCTTTTCACCATCCTTACAAATGTTTGTGAGTAGCAGTGGGTTGCCACCAAGTCCAGTTCCTAGTCCAAGACGATTTTCGAGGTAAGCAAATTTGAATTTTAAATAAGGTTGACGGGCCACTCGTTACATTTGTCTCTCAGATTAACTTTTTCCCCAGTATTTCACTATGAAAAACTTTAAACATACAGCAAAATTGAAAGAATTTCATAGTGAACACCCATATACCCACCGCCTATATTCTACCTTTAACATTTTACCAGATTCTTTTTTTTTAGACTTAGTGTTGATTTATATTCAGAAGGGACACACACACACACAGAGGCATGCATACATGATAATATATCCTTTTTAAGGATAAGGAAAAAATGTTTTAATATCATAGACTGGTCAAAATCCAAATAACTTTTTAATAAGGTATGTTTTTCTTTAAACTCTTATGGGTATTTTGTCTTATAGAATGATTTTTTTAAATGGCTTAAAATACCATATTATTCCAGATTGCCATATATGCCAGATCAAATCACGCATTGGCATTTCAGTTAGTCAGTTACGTAAGAATTCTCCATTTCCCCCTATATGACTATGAATTTTATTTATTTGTTGGGCTTTAATGCTATTTATCTTGCATCTTGGAAGTACTTCATGTTATCCTCTTTGTTTATTCATCAAAGCAGGAGGAGTCAAAGTCCAGTCAAGTGCATTAGGCCCAGTGTTCTTGGTCCTCTTAAAAGAAAAGGTATGTAGCAGCATGGTGACTACAGTTAATGACACTGGATCATATACTTCAAATTTGCTAAAAGGGTAGATCTTAAAGTTCTCACCACACACACACACAAAAGGTAGCTAGGTGAGCTGGATAGATGTGTTAATTAACTTGATTGTGGTCATCATTTCGTAGCATGTACATATAGCAAATCATTATGCTATACACCTTAAATATATAAAATTTTATTTGTCAACTATACCTCAGTAAATCTGGAAAAAAAGAAAAGATGTCTCACACTTCTAGTTTTAAACGTAGCCAGGCATGAATTAAAAACTAGAATTTCTGTCTGAAATGAGCGTATGGCATTGCTTTCCTTTTTCCTAAAGAAATGCAAAGTATTCTTCCCAATGTATGCACTGCTGATTCTCAATTTTGTAAATTAGTTATTTGATATGTATATATTTTATTACACTTCCTAACTGAATCTTATTCATATATTCATATTTTCATTATATATTCCAAAAATATTGCCTCTCAGTGACCTGAATATAAAAGAGGTGCGTAGTTGATAAGTTGCAGAAATATATGGTAATGTCTTAGCAAATATATCCATAAACATGCTGTATGGTTAAATATAAGATGAGGTTCACCCCCCGTCATCAAATTATGCCTCAGCAAAGCAAGAATTGCCTTATATTCAAGGCTATAGAGTTTTTTATATAACAAGGTGCTCTCTTAATGACCTTATTTTGAAGCACAAAGCACTAAACCAAAATGGTCTCAATCAATGCTAGTTTTAGATGCTATAGAGAACACCTTATGGCCTCTGTTTTTAAAAAGGCGAAGAAATTTAACACAGGTTTAGTCATTATTCCTGAGCATATAACCACGTGATTGCAAGTGTTAGGTGTCATTTTAAACAAGAGTTTTAACAGTAGCTTTAAAAAAGCAATGTACTTGTGGCTTTGGTGAAAACTTTCCGGTCATAGAATCATACACAGATTCAAAAAGTGCCATATTTCAGACAACTTAAAATTAAAAATGGTGTGCTCTAGAAAATAGATCCTGATATGGTAACAGTATTTGTATTTAATGTATAAGTTTTATTTTATAAATAGTCTTTTTCCTTAATATTGTAAGGAGTCATTTATAATCCTAGAAACATTCTCAGGGGCTATTAAGTGAATAACACTTGGAGATAAAGTTATTACTATTAACATAAAATTTGTTGCAGGAAGTTGTTGGAATTAGTATGGTTATTTAGTTTGATAGCTATTCCAAAATATACCAGCAGATGGAGGGATTCTTTACTAAAAAGGACTAAAGTCTTTTGCTAGTGAGATGGAGTTGAAAGCCCAGCAATAGCTTTTAAATGCTGCATATTAAAACATAGAAAAACAAATAAAAATATAACTTTTCCTGAATTTCAGTAATTTTCAGAATAGCTCCAGAGGAAAGATAATATGAATTAATTAATAATATGAAATAAAATGAATGTTGCATTTATTCTTCCTTGATTTTTTTCCATCAGAAGAATGCTGTACAGTTTTAAGTTCAAAGTTACTAATTTCCTACTGGGGTGTAGATAGTCTGATGAATCAAATTATCTTTAATAATCCATTTTCAAGCTCAGATAAATAACTTTAAAACCAAGGAATGTGCATGTTTTAAATCATAGCTTATTATATTCTTATTTATTTATTTTTTAAAAAATAAGACATGGTCTCACTGTGTTGCCCAGGCTGGTCTCAAACTCCTGGGCTTAAACGATCCTCCAGCCTTGGCCTCCCAAAGTGCTGAGATTACACGCGTGAGTTGCTGCACCCAGCCCATAGCTTATTTTAAAAGGGCCTTTTTCTGTCTGATTTAGGGTTGTTAGTCTTTGTATTCCTGGTGACAAAATGTTAAGCTTTATTTCTATTGGTGCAAAGATTTTCTGTTACCAGTTCCGAGAAAAATCTGTAGGATTGACATGGTCAGTACAATACGAATTTTGTGAATTGAATAATAATTGCTTTCAATTACAGACGTGCTTTCAAACATATTTTTAATCTTCATTTTCGCTAAGTAGTCTAAAACAACTTTTTACTTATACACTATTTATCAGACTACACATTTTTTAACCCATTTGACATCAATTCAGGAAATGTTCAGATATTAAAATACATAAAATCAAGAGTCTTTGCTAACCATCTAGCATAAAATATTATTCACTGTGAGCTTCAGCTATTTGGGAATACTTCATTTCTGCTGTGGTTAGCCTTGATTCATGTTGCCTGATGCAGTCAGTGTACTATTCTTCTATTAAAGCACATGAATATATCCATATGCTACATATAATGAATAAGAAGTTTTTTTTCAGGGCTGCTGACTTTTTGGTTGAGTTCTATGTTAAAGCACATGGAAAAATAGCTTTTAAGTAATGGCTTGAGGAAGTATTCTGAGCTTTGGTTAAACAAAGATCACCCCATTTTAGCACCAAGCCTGTATTTGTAAAATTGTTTTACAGTAACATCATCTCTTTCTGTTTTAGGTGAAATGGAGACAGAAAGCCAGCCCAAGAGACTCTTCCAAGGCACTACCAATATGCTATCTGCAGATGCTGCACAGTTGTCTGATCTCAGTTCATGGTAAAAAATGAAATAAAATCAGAAGGATGTTAGGGTATAATCCATTTAAAAAGAGCCACATCGAAAGTATTTTGGGTCAATTTAAAATATTTTCAACTTTTTATCCATGCTCCCATAGAGAACTGTCCATGGAGGTATAGATAATGTGAAAAGACAGATTATTTGAAAGTCATGAGTACTTCCTTTGGAAGTATGTATATCTTTTTGGTACCTTCACTTTCATTCCTAGCTCCTGGTAGGTCAGCCTCTCTCGATTGGTGCTAATGGCGTGGTACAGTGTCAATAGCTGGATGGTGTGAGAGTCTCTGGGTTGCTGTGGGTAGCATGCATTGATTGTAGCTGCTCTGCGTGCATTTTGTATTAAATCTTTTAGACTTAGCAGAGAATACCAGCATTCTCTTAAGCATGAATAGCATTATCTGTTATTATAAAATATTTTTGAAAATTTTGTGGTATTCCATCACAATGCTAACTAAGGTTTCATTTTTATAGTGACACTTCCTGATTCTTATGGTCTAGTGACAAAATTTTTTTTTCTTTTTGAGACAGTGTCTCACTCTATTGCCCTGGCTACAGTGCCGTGGTGTCAGCCTAGCTCACAGCAACCTCAAACTCCTGGGCTCAAGCGATCCTACTGCCTCAGCCTCCCGAGTAGCTGGGACTACAGGCATGTGCCACCATGCCTGGCTAATTTTTTCTATATATTTTTAGTTGTCCAGCTAATTTCTTTCTATTTTTTTTTAGTAGAGACGGGGTCTCACTCTTGCTCAGGCTGGTCTCGAACTCCTGAGCTCAAATGATCCGCCCGCCTTGGCCTCCCAGAGTGCTAGGATTACAGGTGTGAGCCACCGCACCCGGCCACAAATTTTTTTTTTAAAGTCTTACTCATCCTAGTTTAGATCTCTAACTTAAGGACCTTCAGCACTTTTGTCAGAAAGTTAATTTCTTTTCCTGTATCTGAAGTTGAGAACTTGGATGCTAGCATACATGTTGGAGGGAAGAGGAAGGGATAGTAGCAGTGCCCAGGTAATATTTTAAAATCTTTCAGTATGTTCTAATCAACTCATTACTGAGTATCCATGTACTAAATTGTGTAGTGCTTTTCATAATTTTTTGGTTCCCTGAGTTTTACAGCTGAGGGTCTTTTTTAAAAGCCCTGAGGACACTCACTTTAGAAATATCAGGATCACCAGACACAGTGATGTGCACTTATAGTCCCAGCTATTCCATTCAGGAGGCTGAAGTGGGAGGATCATTTGAGCCCAGGAGTTCGAGGCTCCAGTGTGCTATGATCATGCCAGTGAATAGCCACTGTACTCCAGCCTAGGCAACATGGTGAGACCCTGTCTCAAAAAAATAAAAACAGCAGGATCATATCCTCTAAATGGAAGAAGTGTATAAGCCCCTTACAAGGTATAAGGATTGAGGATTCCTTCTTCCCAAATCACTTATTCATTGTTTTATGTAAGACAACCTGTACTTCTAGTCACAGATTACTCTGGTTTATTAGACACATCTATTGCACTGTTCTAACCTTGGAACAGATGGCTTTTAGATTGTTCTAGCTGTTTTCAGTTCCACAGTCTCTTTTTCCTCTCATCTCTGTCTGTCCTTGGTAGTTTAGCATGCTAATTTTGGTGCAGAGTGCCTTTCCAGGTATGTAGACGATTGCAAAGAGAAAACTTCTGAAGTTTGTCAAGAGGACTAGTGGATGAATCTCTGTACTTAGTGGAAACTACATATCACTTTTATGGTAAAGTGTTTTTTAATACAGGCATATGACTCTAAATAGGTTTGCTTACCCAGTTACTAACCAAGTGACCAAATTAAGTAAAAGATACGACAGGGCCGGGCACGGTGGCTCACGCCTGTAATCCTAGCACTCTGGGAGGCCGAGGCGGGTGGATCACTCAAGGTCAGGAGTTAGAAACCAGCCTGAGCAAGAGCAAGACCCCGCCTCTACTAAAATTAGAAAGAAATTAATCGGCCAACTAAAAATATATAGAAAAAATTAGCCAGGCATGGTGGCACATGCCTGTAGTCCCAGCTACTCGGGAGGCTGAGGCAGAAGGATCACTTGAGCCCAGGAGTTTGAAGTTGCTGTGAGCTAGGCTGACACCATGGCACTCACTCTAGCCCGGGCAAAAGAGTGAGACTCTGTCTCAAAAAAAAAAAAAAAAAAAGATACAACAGTATTTTGCCAAGCTAACATCATGCGGGGTGAGGTGATTTATTTTTATATTGTCTTAGGGTGACTGTGAAAGATGCCTTAAAACAGGTTCACACAAATAAGAAAGGAAAGGTATACGAAGATCCTCTGTCCTTGTCCAGACGTTTATTCCTTTGAGCATGACAGCCTAAGCAGTCTATTATGGCGGCTATTGTGAGACTTCGACTTCTGTTGCCACTACCCCCCTACTCCGTAGACCTGTGACTGGCTAGGAGAGCCCTAGGAACGTCGACAGTGGTGATGAAGAAAACTTTTGATCCTTAAACGTAAAAAGCTGTTGCCTCACACAGCTAACAAGCCAACGTATGGCTCAAGTAATCTGAAAAAGATATCTATTACTCAAAAGTCACAAACCTAGGTGTCAAAGATAGTTAAGTAATTACACATTCAAATAATGTTTTTAGTCAGTTTATAGTATCTGTTCTTCTGAGGTTATTAGAGCTTAAAATTGTACTAAGACTTTGGGGCTACCTTATATGTTAATGATGCTGACATTTATATCTATAATTAAGAGATCTTAAATATGAACTATTCCTTTTATGTAAAAATTGGATCCTGCTTTTGCAGAAACTTTTCTTCTGTCTTTTTTTGGGGGGTGGGTGGGGGGGAACAGGGTCTTACTCTGTTGCTCAGGCTAGAGTGCAGTGGTGTCACCATAGTTCATTGCAACCTCAAACTCCTGGGTTCAAGTGATCCTCCTGCCTCAACCTCCTGAGTAGCTGGGACTACAGGCATGTGCTACCATGCCTGAGTAATTTTTCCTTTTTTTTTTTTTTTTTTTGTAGAGACAGGGTCTCACTATGTTGCTCAGGCTGGTCTGAAACTCCTAGCCTTACGTGATTCTCCTGCCTTGGCCTCCCAAAGTGCTAGGATTACAGGCATGAGCCACCACGTCCAGCCCTCTTCTCTATCTATAATGTAGTTTCATTATCAGAATCAGACATCCGTATTCTAAGAAATGGGGACAGAGCTGTATTCTGGTTTCTATTTTCAAGGATGGCAATCTCCATGACTGAGGAAACAATTTTTATGCTACCTTTTAGGGAGTGGAAAACGGATCAGATCATTAGTAGATGTTATCTCATCATTTAAATCTTTATAGTTTGTTCCCTGCCCCACCCCACAAAAGGAAAGGAAAATATGAGTTTTATAACCTTTCAATTAAAGTTTATATATTAGATAATAATCTTTAAAATATGACATCTTTGAGGTATAATTTAAATTTGAAATGTTAGTCGGGATCCATTTGAAGTTTGTGTCGAGATGGGCATACTTTCGATTTCATTTTTTTTCTTTACTAAATGAACATTCTTAAATCTTTGCCAACCAAATCTGGGGAACATCATCAACTACAAGGCAGAAATTATGTCATTCTGCGTTTGGTCATTATGAACATCAAGAGTTTGAGCATAACTCAGAAATATACCTTTGCATGGTGTTTTGATTGTTTTTGCATTTTGGGAACTCATGCTCTGCTCCTCATTCTGTTGGGAGTAAGACTACATGTATCTGCAGCATGCTATATCAAATAGAGCAGTTTTCAGGGGCTGCTGGCCATACAGTGAAGGTTAAGTGGTAGTTTATTTCTTCTACATAAAAGGAAAAATTCTCCCATGAATTTTCTTACACAGTGCATCAGTGTTAATGCAATAGGTTTAACATTTTTCGTTAGATTTATCTTAGCGGTTCAAACATTTTTAACATTATATGTGTTACCAGGTACAAAAATAAGTTTTAGTAAAAGGCAAAAGAATTGTTCCGAAGAGAAACCAGAGCATAAAAAAATAATCATGATTCATTTAATAAATAATAGGAATGTGTACATATACCTTAAAGATGTTTATATGAGCAACTTAGACATCTGTACTGAAACTTTAAAACTCCTATCTCCATCAAAACCATGGAAATGATCATATTTAAATATGTGATCTTAAAAACTTAAAAGATTATTCAGAAAGATAACGCTGGGCCCTCCTTAGGCAAGATAGTAGAGACCAGAGAACATACCATATGTATCAGTTTAGCCCACAACAAGGGACGTGAGGATATCCTGCAATCATACCTTATGCTAAAATCTAGCCATATACTGAGACTTGATAGGGCTGCAGCCAATTTCTAGGGCACTTACCTGCCTGCCATCAATGTGATAGAACCCAGCTTATTGACTGGACAAGGTACAAAGTGGCTCAGCCAGGTGGGGTGATAGCATGAGTCACACTGGACATCCTAGTTTTGTTGTTACTTTATCATTGGAATATTTTAATGATTCGCTTATGCTTTCACCCTTAGTTTTTCTAGACAGAGGGTGCTACTTTAAGTCATGAGTACTTTTGGTTGTGTAGTTCAAATATAGCCTCAATATGTATATACAGTGCCTGGAATAAATTAGCTCAGTTTTGATTCAGGTACTCCTATGTTCAATTTGAATTGCCTGGGGTCCTTTCCTTTTCTACTCTTGTCTGGCTTTCAGCCGTCAGTTTAAGTAAGGCTCATTAGAACCTCCATCAGAGCTTAACACGAGGAAAGGAAGAAGAGAGAAACTCAAATTGGACCAGGCTTTGTTGCTTTTAAAGCTCTGGTAGAAGATTTAACAGTGGACACTGTGAAAATTACTTTTGTACAGTTGATCTCTCTGTGGATTAAAAAATCGCATAAGTCTTGCTTAATATGGATATAATAACAATGGGTGATTTGTGACCTGTAGTCTCTGTTTCCATGACCATATGTAGTCATGCCAAATTAATTCAAACAGAAACTAGATTTTAGTTTAGTGAAAATGTCTGGTTAAAGGTTTACCAAGTTCTGAATCTAAATTGCAGTGGAGACGAGATGTGAGTATGCTATTTTTCTGTTATGAACAAAATTGCATACATTTGTATTTTATTAATAGAGAAGAAATTCTGAAATGAAATGTTCAAGTTTATTTTTTTTCTAATTTTCTTGGTAACTTTTCCATTAGCTCATTTCTCTTAAGGTAATTAACAGTGTTAGAAGACTAGTTTCACTGCACGAATCATGTTTTGTGTTTTTGAATGAACATAGGATTCACTCAAGCAAGCAGGTCTTATTACAAATGGAATCTTTTAACCCAGAGCTCAGCATAAGTCTGGTGGTTGGAATAAGGAATTTTTTATTTATATTCAGATTATCTGATTGGTGGCCAAATTTTAATCTAACCCTGTTTCTTCCTGCCAAGTAGCATAGAGCATGTCCTTCAGCTGCCTGGCCAGTATGTGCTTTAGGAAAGTAAATTCATTTTGATATTAGTCTAGGCAAAAAGCTACAGGAGGAAAAATCGCATATGTTCCAAAGGCAAATAGAAAGGTCTTTTGATTTTCCAGTTTCTTGGATTATCTGTGCAACTTTCTTTCAGTAGTTTGAATAATTCATATTTTAGACCCATTTTGCCTTTTGGTTGAAAAAACATCAGAGCCAGCTAAATTTTCCGAACTTATTACTTAAAAGTGGTATTATTAATGATGCATTTGACAGCAGTGAGCACAGAGTAGGAGTAGTGTGGAATATACTGTTTCCATTTTTATTTTTACTTTTCCGAAGACTATTTCTAGGTTGTCTCCATCTAAATACAATCCACAGGCAATAGAACAAGATGACATTTTGAAGAAAAATGGAAGCACAGAGAAATGGGGTTGGGGAATAGGGACATATTTCATTGAGGGTGGTATAAGCCCTAGAAATTTCCAAATTGCCATAAGTTACTAAACGTTGGTAATATATTTACTTGGAAATTCATAAAAATGATAATATTAAAGGTGCATAACATTTTGACTTGGAGCATGTTAGACCAGAATGGGCTTTTGCAAAGGAGCTAGTGACCAAACTTAATCTAGAACCCATATTTCCCGATTCATAGTTCCTTCTCCAATCCTATGCTTTTTTCCTTTTCACAAATAAGAAGTATGTCTGTGTAAATTCTAAAACTGCCTGACTACCTCTTCAGCTTTTCTCTTGCTATATTCTATTTACTCTTTGTATCACAGCCACACTAGCCTGCTTTTGGTTCCTAGAACTACCCTTGCTTCCTCCCAAACTTTACCTAGTTGGTGCCTACTCATCCTTCAGATTATAGCACAGATATCACTCTGGGGAGCCTTTCCTTCTTCCTCCAAATTAGATCAGGTTACCCACATTATATACTCTCATATCCCCTTGTATCTTTCCTTTATTATGACATTATGATTCTACTTTTATTCACATCATTGTTTAAATGTCTGTATCCTGCACAATACTATAAATTCAATGAGGGCGGGGACCATGTCTGTCTTAAACACCATTATATTTCTAATATCTAGCCTACTTCCTGCACTTGGCAGACACTCAGTAAATATTAGAATAAGTGAATGAGTGAATTCAGAGCAAATATAAAGCATAGAGCTTTATATATTGGATTGATGGGAATCAAAGCCAGAAAGGCAGCTTGATGCAAAATTGCCAAGTCTCTCAATTCCATGCTGAAGTATGAAGCTGGGTTTATGAGGCAGGCCAGATTAATTGTTGGGAGCAGTGAGTATCTCGGCTGGATGGGGAAGGTATGCCTGGGCTGGGTATAGAGGCTCTTGATGCCCAGAGGAGGAGTTTTAGTGGAAGGGTGGAAGCAGGAGCCAGTTGTCAGGGTTAAGGAGGCAGTGAACTAAGAGGGTATTAAGACCATGGATTGAGACTATTCATTTTAGAAGCTTAACTGGAGAATAACTGAAAGAAAAAAAGAAAAGGAGTCTTTTAGAGATAGTAGAGACTTTTGAGTTTCGAAAGCAAGAGGAAAGGAAACAGTGTAAGGATTTTATAAAATGAGAAGAATATAAAAGGCATATAATTAGAGGGGGAAATCATTAAGAATACATTTGAATTGAAGGTCCTTTCGGAGTGGGGAAGTGGTCAACTCTAGGGCAGTTGAAAGACTGTTTTAGAGTAGAGGAACTATCAAGCAGTATACTCGATCGAACGCTTCAGGCAGTCCAAGGATGGTTACCTCAATGAGCAACCATTATTACTCCAAGCCTGATAGGAAAGTAAGAAGAGAAATAGAAGGATAGAAATCTCTTGATCTGGGGGTGAGGGAACTCCCTCACGGAAACTATGGAACGTCAAGAGGAATCCTTGTATGTTGGACAATCTGGTGCCTCCAGGGGGACACTCAAATGATACAGGACCATGAAAATCTTACTTTGGATTTCTGTAACTTTATAATTTCACAGGTATCTAAATATAGTATGTTATATAGTTCATTGCTGCGCTTTTATGCTTTTTATTATTTACAAGCGCTCTACTGATTTGTGAGTTCTTGAAACTATGTCGTTGCATGTTATGTTTACCCTGATAGATGCATCTGCTTATAATTCTTTTTGCTTTGTCCTCAGTTCAGATATTTTGGATGGCAGTAGTAGCAGCAGTGGCTTATCCTCAGACTCACTGGCTAAAGGCAGCGCTACCGCAGAGTCTCCAGTAGCATGTTCCAATCCATGCTCTCCGCTCATCTTGATGGATGATCTCTCACCCAATTGACTTAACCATTTCTGATTCAGCGTTTTAACTGCTGTTTCCTACGTAAAACATTTAGTGAGGCACGCAAAGAACTTTGATCCATAATGAGGATTAAAGTTTTGCAGATTTCAACTATCCTGATGCTGTTATTTTTTTGGCATCTCTCTTCTCTAAGGTTCAATTCTATGATTGTAGTGACCTTACTAACTTCTATATTTGCTGATCTCGTTTTGGATTTAGTGACTACATCTCAAATACTTATTTTTGATTGCTTAGAGGATATTTGTTTTTCTTAGTGCCTCAAAGAGCACCTATTTTCAAGTCTATATGTTTAAAGAAGGCACTAATGTGTATTCTCTATAATGGTTCTTTTCTCCAGCAGTGATATGACAGAGTTGATCAGAAATTCTCTTGCTTGAGAGATTTTTTTTGTTCTCAGTTGACTACATAGTTTCACATCTTTTTATTTCACGATAATACACAAATTGCTTTGGATTATATTAAATTTTTATTTTTCTGCATCAGCTTAAAGTACATTGTTTTGTTTCCCTTTTCTGTTTGAGCTGCTTATGCCATTTCTCACAGAGGGGAAAAAACACGCAGTTGCTTTCATTACTACCCTTATTGCTTCTTTGCTGTTGGAGTGTATGAGGTGAGGATTGATTTTTGTGCTGAGAATGTAAATGGCCTTACAGAATGCCCAGATTAGTCACCACAGGTTCTTATGACTTTGCTACAACAGTTGATGTTTTTCTCCCCAAACCTGTTGCCCTCAGGAATATATAAAATATTATTGATATTTCTAGGTGGTGTTATCAAGGAGAAGAAATTCCTGCCTTGACCAGATGTGTGGAGCATCTACAAATGAATGAATAATGTTATTAACATACAAACCACTGTGTACAAAAGCATCCATGGAGCTGTCAGTGTCTCGGGTGGTATTATGAGGCCTTGGGTGCCTTGGGGTACATTGTCGTGCTGTAAGGGATGTATATCATAAGGTAGGGTGAAAGAGGGGGCTTTATGTATGTGATTGCCACATACTGTTTTGGTTGCTGCTTTTTTCTGATTCCTTTTTGTCGTTGCATTTGTTCTGTCGTGTGGTGATTGGTGTTGTGGTTATTGCGTTGCTACCAGAATTAGAATCCAGTTCTTGTTCATACTGCCTAATAATAAGGGCAGTTTAATATCTACAAGGACACTTTTAGGAGCTGAAAAAGTCAATGTTACTGTGCATTCTGCTTTTAAGAAGCTGAGCTATGAACAGTGTACATGCTAGTAAGTGTGAGGTACCATAAGTTACTTAATTTTTCAAAGAGAAAATTCCTGACTGAGCTTTTTAAGAAATCTGAGTGTAGTCTCTTGTTGTGTTATTTATTATTTGTAGCTGTGTAAAATGTCTGTCGTGATAGATTTCTTTTAATGTTCGGACATTGTGGTTGGATTGTCTGTGTTTAATATGCAAATTTGCCTGCTTAGGATCATAATATTACATTCTTAAATGAATGTAAAAAATGAAAACTACTGCATTTGTGTCTTTTGAAGGTAAAGATCCTTGGATGTTAAAGGAAGATGATGTGCTTTGAAGGTATTCACAGACTAGTAACAGTGTATGGCTTGAAGGGAAACCCATTCTCTTTCAATTACAAGAGAGCATCACTTAACTTGCAGTAGTGCTCTTACAGCATCAGATGTGTTCTTTATTTTAAATTGTAATCATAACAGCCATTAATGGCTTTATTTCTTGTATTGCTCTTTCCTGTGCAAAGCCCATAATCCTTCAAACCTAACATAAATATATCTATTATGAAGCTTGTCCCCTAGTATGCCATTATAAAGAAAAAATTCTTTGATGGTATTTGGTATCTCTCTTCTGTTTGGAAAAGATCTGTGTCCAAATGTTTCTGCCTCTACAATGACAATAGATGGTTTTGTCTTACAGGAGATTTATCCACCTTCACTCTACTGTCTTCTTTGCCTTAAAGGGACACTTTTGGCCATCATTTTTGGGCTCTGATTTAGGACTGTTAAGAAATTACTTTGAAATATGATGAATTTAAATTTGTTTTTGAAATTCGGTGGAGGGGTAGAACTGGGGCAGGAAATTGAAATTGTTCTGATGGTATGAGAACTAGGAGGCAAGATGATTCACTTTATTATTTAAGCCAAGGTTTGTTTTTAGTTTTTATTGTTTATATGGACTAGGAAGTTAAGTTTGTACAGGGATTGTTTTAAAATAAGTAAAAGAGATATGCTAACCCACAGATGAGCTTTGTTGACAGTACCCCTTTATTTTTATATAAAGTCTAATATTTGGAAAGTCATCATTGTTATAAAAGTAAAATTCTTTCTTCCTATTCTAATATTATATCATAATTTCAGGCTTCTATTTGAAAACAAGTACAAGAAGTGATACAATAAGAAAATCCTGTAGATACTGTTTTTGTGTGATCAACTTATATAATCATTGTGTTTCATGATAACTGCTTTTGGAATAATAAATTTTGTGAAATGCTGGCCTTGTGTATATCTTAGAATGCAAATTTAATAAAGTGTGTATACATGCATAAAATTTAGAAATGTTTTAAAAGTCTTTTATTCTTGTTGATAATTATTTTCTGCCTCCATATCCCAATAGTTCATTCTCTGTGTCTAATTGCAGGTCAAGTTTTGAAGAAAGGCTAATAGGAACACATAAGAACTAATAGCTATATTGAAGTTTGGGCTGTTTCCAAAAACAAAGAGAAACCTCTCCATATAATCTGTCAAATTTTCAAGAGTATTTTGTAGAATTTGACAAAATTAGAAGATTCCTTTCCATAAACCCAGCACTTGAAGGTTAAAAAAAAATAGAAAGTTCTTGCCAGGGTCACACATCTTTCTTGCTTGTTCTCAATTTATTTTATCTTGTTATATTTTTACATATTTATAAGCCTCTATAAATTATTTTTAGAACAAGATGGGTGGTGGGTAAATAGGCAAAAATCCTTTTATACATAATTCAGGTTATCAATTTTATTTTCAGTTTTTAAAAAATACATTAATTACTTTAAGACTTCACATTTGGAAATAATTTCAAACCTAGAAAAACATTGTAATAGCCCAAAGAACTCCCACATATCCTTCACCCAGGTTTCCCAATTGTTAACATTTAACCATGTTTGCTTTGCCGTTCTCTCTCTCTCTTTCCCTCCCCACACACACGTACACATTTTTTTCTGAACCATCTGAGAATGAGTTGCAGATATGATACCACATTGCCCTTACATGCTTCAGTATAAATTTCCTAATGACAAGGACATTTTACATAACCACATTACAACTATCAAAATCAGGAAATTAACTTTGATACAAAACTGCCATCTAATCTACAGGCCTATTCAAATTCTTCCTGTGGTTCCAATAATGCTCTTTTTAGCAAAAGGGAAAAAAAACACATTTTTTTCCAGGATTCAATCCAGGCATTATGTGTCCTAAGGCTCCTCAATTTGGAAGTCCCTCAGTCTTCCCTTGTCTTTTGTGATCTTCATAATTTTGAAAAGTACTAGCCAGTTATTTTGAAAAATATCTCTCAATTTGGGTTTGACTGTTGTTTCCTTGTGATTAAATTCAAGTTATGCATTTGGACAGAAATACCACAGAAGTCATGCTGCATTCTCAGTGTATCATTTCAGGAGGCACATGGGGTCACTTTGGCCTGTTATTAGTGATGGTAACCTTGATCCCTTGGTTAAGGTGGTATCTACCATGTTTCTCCACTGTACAGTTAGTCTTTTTGCCATTGAAATTAAAGTATTTTTTATGGAGATACTTCGAGACTATATAAATATTTCATCTTCTCATCAGACTTTCATCTACTACTTTTAGTATTTATTGATCTTTCTAGCCTGATGGTATAATGATGGTTACCTATTGGTGACTAATTCCATCATTCATTTTACATTTATTAGCATTCTACTGTAAAGAAGAACTTTCTTTTCTCCATTTATTTGCATCAGTGTGGATTCATGGACTCCTGTTAGTTTTAATCCATTACCATAATTATTTCGATAATCAAATTATCTCAGATGTGGATAGTAAGGAGCCCTCCAGCTCACTCCTGTGTCCATTTGACAAATCCCTATCATTTTTTGAGCAGTTTTTTACTTTCTGGCACAAAATGTCCCAGATTCTAGTTTCCTTGCCCCAGCCCCTGGGATCAGGCATTTCTCCAAGGAGCCCTGATTCTTTTAAATAGAGAACAACATTTAAAAACCAAGGTATGGGCACTAGGTATTATCATTACTACTGGGGTATTATTGTTTACAGGCCTCCAAACACAAAGAAAACACATGTATGTGTATATGTATACCATATAAATGTGTACGTGTGTGTATATATGTGTATTTATATACACACACACCTATCTATATCTGTTTATCTATTAAAATCACGAGTTCAAACTATACCTCTGATTCCAATTCAACACCATAGAGTTCATGGCACTGTCCACACTATCCATATTTGTAACTATTTTCTCCCATCCAAGTACTAACCAGTCCCGACCCTGCTTTGTAACTCCATTTTCTGAGAAACTTGGCTCCCTTTATCTCAATATAATTACAGCTTTCTCCCATGTATAACCAATCTCCTGCCCTGCCAGCCACCACCCTAGCTGCACCCCCCAACCCCAGCCCCAGCCATCTCCTTGGCTCCAACCTTGGTGCCCCACCATCCCTGGCTGTCTCTGTGGAAGGAAGGGAAGAGGATCTAAGTACTCGTGTTTTTTTTTTTTTTTTTTTGAGACAGAGTCTCACTGTGTTGCCCGGGCTAGAGTGAGTGCCGTGGCGTCAGCCTAGCTCACGGCAACCTCAAACTCCTGGGCTCAAGCGAGCCTCCTGCCTCAGCCTCCCGGGTAGCTGGGACTACAGGCACGCGCCACCATGCCTGGCTAATTTTTTCTATATATTTTTAGCTGTCCAGTTAATTTCTTGCTATTTTTGGTAGAGACGGGGTCTTGCTCTTGCTCAGGCTAGTCTCGAACTCCTGAGCTCAAACAATCCGCCCGCCTCCAACTCCCAGAGTGCTAGGATTACAGGCGTGAGCCACCGCGCCCGGCCAGTACTCCTGTTTTAAATACCCCTGGTTCACACTCACCCCAACCACCTCCAAGCACCTCTTCTTCCGTGTTTAACTGTTCGTAGCTCAGGAATTTTCTTTCTTTCTTTTCTTTTTTTTTTTTTTTTTAAATAAGAGTCTCGCTCTGTTGCCCAGGCTAGAGTGCAGTGGTGTCATCGTAGCTCACTGCAACCTCGAACTCCTGGGCTCAATTGATACTCACCTCAGCCTCCTGAGTAGCTGGGACTACAGGCACGCACCACCACACCCAGCTATTTTTTCTATTTTTTGTAGAGACGGGGTCTCGAACTCCTGACCTCAAGCGATCCTCCTGCCTCAGCCTCCCAGACTGCTAGGATTACAGGCATGAGCCACCACATCCACCCTCAGGAATTTCTTCTGCTTATTAGTTTAACAAGTATTTATTGAGCCCTGTGCTGGGAACTGTAAATGCAGATTAAGTTCATGCCTTCAAGGAAACCAACAGAGTGTAATAAACAGAAGTTTACTGAGCATTAGAAGCACTGATTAGAATGTGTTCGGGAGCACAAAGAGATCACCCAGCGTAGCCTGGGTTGTGGTTCTGGAATGCTTCCCAGAAGAGGTAACGCTGAAGCTGAATCTTGAAGAACAAACTTGGGGTGGAAGTAGGGGTCAGGTAGAGGGACATAAGATACAGTCAAGAAGAGACCAAGACACCATTACAAAAATACTAGTACTTTGCTAATATAGGAAATGAGGCTGGAGAGGAAAATAGAGGACTCCTCTGGTCTTTGGGGATTTAAGAATCCTTAGCTTATGTAGGTGGAAGCTGTGGGTACAAATGAAAACAGAGAGATCGTCTGGAGATTGTCTGATTAGAGACAAAATCTTAAAAAGCATCAACATTTAAGAGGCAGGCTGAAGAAGAGGTGGGGTGGCCCAGAAAAAGCAGCTAATAATACCAGCAAAGCTAAGGAAGGAGCAGTCCGCAAGGGTCAATTAAAATGACTGATTTTTTCTTGTTGATTTTCCCGAGTTCTTCCACTAAGTGAGGTATCCCAAGAATGGAAAGACAAGCACCACATGTACTCACCATCAAATTGGTACTAACTGATCAACACGTAAGTGCACATATAAGAATAACATCTATTGGATGTTGGGCAGGGGGGAGGAGGGAGGGGGGAGGGGGGAGGAGGGGACGGGTATTTTCATACACAAAGAGTGCAACGCGCACCACCCCAAGGATGGACATATTTGAAACTCGGACTTGGGGGGGAGGAGGGGGGCAAGAGCAACATACGTAACCTAAACATCTGTACCCCCATAATATGCTGAAATTAAAAAAAAAATGAAAATTTCCACTGGGTCTGAAAATGCGAAGGTCTCTAAAGACTTTCGTTAGTGCACTTTTAGTGAAGTGGAAGGGGCAAAAGTTGAATTGCAGTGGCTTGAACAAACAGGAGCTTAGGAAATGGAGGCAAGGAATATAGACCATAGTCCACGTCCAACATTTTCCAACTTCCTCCTTCCCTTTCTTTCCCAATGCTTGTTCAATCACAAAAGCAAACTCTTTTTGGTTTTTCCCTTCTGTGTCCTCAGCAGCTACCACTGTATCTGAAACGGAACAGTCCTTTCAGTTTTGTGGAACAATTCACCCCACACTCTAACCTATAGAGGGAGTCGAAAAAGATCACAGGGGAGCGTTGACCTATAGGAGAAGCTGAAAAGCAATCTCCAGGGAAAATCTCCACACACTCTCACCTCTAGGAGGAGCATTTAGCGTTTTGTCTCCCAGACGTTCCTGAGGAGAACTTGCATGAGGACTCTTCGTCAAGGAGTACCATCCTTGGTAATCTTTACTAATATGTACCTTCTATTTGTGGCATGTGATACTGATTTTTTTATGATAGTGATACGAAGTTTTCTGTTGAAATAAATTTGGCAAATAGTATTTTTAAATGCATATATTTAAAAAATAAATATAGCAAAGAAAAATTGAGCTAATTTAAAGAAACATCTTAAGTAAACAATATTCTGAGTGAAAGATAGCTAGATAGGGCCAAAATCTTTCAAAAAAAACATAAGAACTTCGATCCAGGAAAGTATTGGGTCACAGTAGTGTGTGGGTCTGTCAG